CGAAGACAGCTCCAAAGCGTTTAGAGCCCTCCTCCCAGACAGGTATTGACATTCCCTGGATTGTATTGATGTTTCATCTCACGCTTTCCTTTTTCAGACTGATGTAGAGGTTGTGCCTGAAAGTTAACAAAACACCCCTCACCCTGCTAGGCAGCTGAACCCATAAATCCTGGTGTAAGGCAGCAAAGCATAAGCAGAGTGACCCCTGAAGCCTGCACTGGTGTAGGGCTCCAGTCGCAGCTCCTTCTGTCATGTTTCTGCCATGTTCCACCCAGCAGAACAGAGACTGTGTGAAATGCGACTGCCAGGCATTTTTCTTAGAAAATAAAGAGGTAAGAGGGTAGAAGGAAATGCTCCTTTTAAGAGGTGCCAGATGGCTACACAACCCCACCGGCGTTCAGTGAGAGCAGTGCCCATCAGCAGATTTCACATGGATGGTTAGGATCCCCGGGGCACTGCCCAGGTGGTGCAGCACTGCAAACATCATGAGCTAAACACATCCCCGTGGCTGTAACACATTGCTTGGAAGCAGCACTGGTCAGGTATTGCACAGGGGAAAACATACTGCCCTGAACTCTAAGCCCAGTAACAGCTTAATCTGCTTGATGCTCAGGTCTTCAATAGGAGAGGGTTAAAATAAAAGAAACAGAATATTCCTTCAGTGTCAGAGAAAATGCAGTTTTCTTACCAGACCGAAGCAAGCATGTAGCACTATAAATACTGGTGCTCCCCCCTCTCCCTTATTTATCTGTTCTGATATTTATTGCATCCAAAATAAGAAATACCTGAAACCTGACAGTAACTCCAAGTTGTACATTTTCAGTACAAAGTTTTAAAGCATTATTAAAAGAAAAAAAAAAAAGTAGATGTAGTCATACATGGAAAGCTATGTGAACTGGAGAATGCTCAATCCCACCCTCCCTTGGCATTTGCACTTCTGTCATTGCTGAACCCCAAATTACCAAAATTCTGGGGGGATCACTCCTCACTATGGTAAAGTTTCCAAGATGCATTCCCAGAGGGCCTAGAAAGTTCCTTGCTCCAGTATCGATCCCCTCCGAGTGCCACTTTTCAGTTTATTTCCAGGCAGGGCCATCTGTCAGCCAAGGCCATGTGAGACGATGCCCACGGCCGAGGCACCAGGCCCTGCTGAGCACCCCAGTGACTGCACAGGAAGATATATCCCTAAGCCTCCTCCTGCACTTACAGCTTCATTGGTATGTTGGGTGGGTTTCCGCCACCATTTCAAGAAAATTGCTTGAGGACAGAAAGGAAGATTAGTTCTTCTGAAGACTGGAAAAACAACAGCAGTTATATTCCTACCTATAAATCTGATTTCCTTGATTGCAGCTGGCTTTAGAGTACCACAGGATTCCCAGGAACTTCACAAACAGTGAAAATTGGCTGTAATTAAGCTTGACTTTCACAGCTATATCCAAATCTTGCTAACATATCATGTCTGGGGTTGAGTACCTTTATAGTAAAACACATCACAAGTGCCTCCAGAACTGAGAGTCAAATCCTGATTTCCTACTCAATAATAAAAGGCTGGGAAACATTTTAAAGATAACCACCAGTTCCTACAGGTTCCTGCTGCCTCTGACCCCTCCTGGTCACTGCTAGATGCTGCTCAGCATTTAAACAGAACTTAAAACATGTCACCTGTGATTATATGTCCCCATATAATCCTCAGCCTTGGGCTAAACCTGCCAAAGGACTGGGTTCTGCTTTGAAGGGTGGCAGTGGAGGAGCAGGGACTTGAGCAGTTCCCTCTTGGTTTAAGACCAGAGCAGATACTGAGGTTTTATGGATGATTTGCATCTCCCTAGACCTGGTCAGCCCCACAAGAGCCCAGTCACAACTGTGGCTCAGCACCTGAAAGGTGATTAGAAATCTTCTTGTCTACAGGCACCAAGCATGAGCTGTATTTCACCTGGGCATTTGCAGAATTAACTCTGATTTTAAACTGTTTTAAGTTACCTGGTTCCAGCAGCAACCTTACCCTACTGCTCACGCACACACACCTGCTTGCAATTCCTTTTTGTGCACAGCAGCCCCAAGACACAGGTGGATCAGGTCACCACCCCAAGCTCTGACCCTGGCCTTGTCCTGTGCTGCCCCAGGGCCCTGGGGGGCTTCCCCTGCTCCACAGCCACAGGGGGGTCCTGGATGAAATGGTGAATGAAATTCTGTTTCTGGAGTTTCAGAAGCAAGTGACCAGCACCACTGCAGTGCCCTGGGGAGCAAGGAGAGAGAGAGAGGGAGGGGAAGGAACCTAATTCTCCCTTTTAAACAGCCTACCCATATTAAAATGGAATGCATCTTAAGTGCACCATAAAACATATTCTTCATCCCATTTGCCACTTAACTGGAGCTCTTTTTCTGCCTGCCTAAACACAAGCCTAAGGCCCTTTGCTACTGATACCCATAAGCACAACTTAATAGTGAGACCAGTGCTGGAGATGCAACTTTAATAAGTGTGGTTTGGAAGTGGCCTGGAAGAAATGTAATGAACATATTGGTTGTTTAGCCTGCTCCGAGTGCTTAGATCAATACAACAGCGTTTCCTTATTGCAACTTATTAGCCCAGTCATTTCTTTTTTGCCATCCCTGACCTCATGCGCAGCAACCAGAGAAGTGGCAGGAGAAAAGGACTCGAGCTGTGCTGATCTGAATGTAATTAACATAAGCGCACTCTGCACAAGGGCTCAAAAGATGCTGTTGTAGGAGCTGATGGCCAGGATGCTGGGACCAGAGCCCAGCAGCTCCCACCCTGCAGGGACCCCCCCAGCCCCTCCGCAGCCCCCAGCTGGAGCCCCGAGGCTTTGTGACAAGCACCAGGGACACCAAGCTCGGTGGTGTGCAGCTCCCTGCAAACCAGCAAGGAGAGAGGACGGCTTTATCATCTCCAGCACCGAGCTAAATCTTTAGAAAGAATAAACATCAGGAAGAAAACGTGGTATTGACCAAAAGCTACCAGAAATTTGTAGAGGCAATTGAAGGTTATAGTCTAACGCCGCAGAAGATAAAACTTTGGACAGCCTGTATAGATACCACCCCACTTGCTCTTTGCCAGGAGCCTATCTATTTCCAGCACATGTGAGCTTTGCAGTGCTATGCTTTATTCATACGCTTCAGGATTAAAAAAATGAAGACAGTGCCTGTACTGCCAGAGCATGCTACAATAATACCACATTTGAAGACTTCTTTTTTCCCCCCATCTATCCAATTATTTTTCTTCCTAGGTTCTAGAAGGAAAAATGCAGGTGAGGGAAAACACCTACCTAAAGTTCAAGAAACTTAGGGTTTTTTTTGTGCTTGTCAAGTTGTCAAAACTCACTGGCTCCCAGTGAACACAGATTACACTGAACATGGATTACTGCCAGACAAGCTCAGCAGCCCTCATATGCTATGAGAGCTCCACATCCAAGTTTTTTTCTTTCCTGCTGAACATTAAAGACTCGTAGGCTGTGGTATCCCTAATGGAAGGGGATTTTCTGTGCTGTTCTATGTTGAAAAATGCAGTTATGCTCCTTTCTGGTTTTTGGCCAACACCGATTAGGATCTGCTGTTTGCAACAGAAAATGCTTGTCCTGTCTCTGCTTCCCTCTTCCCCACCCCTTCTCCCAGCTCTCCTTTCTGAGGAGGGTATTTCTCTCATTTCAGGAGCATGGAAGATACCGGGGTAAAATACCTCTAATGGAGCAAACCAATGGGACAAACAAGAGCATCAGCTATACCAGACCTGACTACTGCTAATAAGCACTTCATAACCAATAAATCTGCACAGAGGTTTCCTAACGTTTCAGTTAGGAAATGGCTGTATTCCCCAAAGAGATGAAAATACTCCGTTAGCAACCAATTTTATCCCGGAGATGATGCGTGGCCCGCTGAACATAATTTAATTAAAACTGTAAGGCAGAATAAAACTTTGTCATATAAATGCTTTGTTTTTAATTATAACACTTCATAAATATTTTCCAGAATTACGCTATCTCAGGAAACAAGTTTTCATTGTTTTGCTTAGCTTATTTGAGACACCCAGCTTTAATAACAGCGTTACCCAGATGGCAAAATCCGAGCTGACACGCGTACTCACCCATAAATTACACCAAGAAATCCGCCTGGTAACGAGAAGCTGACTCAGATCCAGGTGACACATCAGTCTCTTGCAGTGCATTCACCACTTACAGAACCAGACGTTACAGTGAGCATCCTGCCAACAAAAGGCACCAAGGGGAAAGCCCTGGGTGCTGGCTGGGCTTGTCCCTGCTGCCTGCCTCCCAAAAAGCCTCCGGAGGCACCGACAGCAGGGTGAGGCCTTGGGCAGGCAGGGGCTGTGAGGGCACGTGGATGAGGATGGACTTCTAGGAGAAGAGCGGACAGGACAGGCTGGCTGGGGACACATGGCACTGGCACAGCCCCAGCACGGTGACCGCATGTGGAGCACGGCCGCAGGCGCCGCTGCACAGCCCGTGGCAAGGTGCATGCCACTCGTCTTATCCATCAGTGGCAAAACTCCACTGAGCGCCAAAACAACAGCATCCATGAAAGCCTAATGTCTACTTAATAGCCCTAAGTGATTGAATTAATCTCCCTGGCACTGCTTCTCCAAAGCGAGCCACAGCCAGGCTCCTGGTACACTCTCACCCGTCTCAGGCGCAGATCCCTCCTCTTGTTACTGAGGTGCAGGCTCTGGCTCCTCTTACCTCTGGAGATGAAGTGTTCATACAGAGAAACCCTCAGCTTTTCTACCAGCAGCAATAAATATGATTGTGCATTCAGTTTCCTGAGGGAATCACTCATCAGCTCATGCTGCCTGAACCATTTTTAATTTTTTGCTCTCCAAGGCGAAAACCTGGAATTCCCTATGTTAGACCCAAATAAGATTTTGCTTCAATCTAGTTTAGTCTCATGCCTCATTTCCTGTGAAGCCATACATACAGCATTTTCCTCACTGCTTTATAGTGATATATATACATATTGCTGTATACATTTACCTTTTTAAGAAAAGCAAACAGCATCCCAAGGCAGCTTCTGCTGCAGAGACATCTCAAAGCACAAACACATCTGTTTCCTCTGACCTTAGACAAGGCTGTCAGTAAATGAGGTCCCCCCTGCTGAAAAAGCCAGTGGACTTCTTCTCTTCCTCATCTCTGACGGATGTTCAGTGCAGAAATTCCCATCCTCAACCAATTTTCCTCCCTCCACGACCTTCGTCCCTTAGCAGATCCCGACTGCTCGGAGCGGAGAAGCAGAAAGCCCTGGTACCACCCAGCTCAGTCCTTTACTACATACACGTACCGTGGTCACCACAGGACGCTGTAAGCTCAGCACTCCCTTCCACCTCATGGCCATAGGGCAGGAGCAGCACGTCACAGCACATCATCACAGCACATCGCCCACCGCCAGCAGCTCTCCACCCCATGCACCGCCCTCACAGGGACCCACGCTGCAGCTCCACGGGCGCTGCATGAGAGAAGAGGATGTGCGAGTCCCACTTCTCTTTTCCGTGACTGAGGCTGGAGGACTAGAGGCTAAAATAAAACAGAAAAATAGCTTTTCTATAAGCTCCTAGGAGCTGGAGGTAGTTTAAATGCTACTCAACAGTATTAAGAAAATAAATCTTCAGGAATCAAAGTCCCCAAACAACATTTATTCATAGCTCTAGACCCACTTCTATCCCCCTCTCTGAGCTGAAGAAACTTTTTGTGAAAAGCTTTTTATAATCCAATCTGAAGTTCGCTGCTCTGCATTTTATGCAATACAGACAGACCTGGAAGTTTTACAGAACAAAATGATCACTGCTCTGCCTGCTACGATAAGAGTCCCATTTGGCGAGTGTACTAACAGCAGCCATGTACCACACGAAGGCTCATTTCTAACTACAAGATCTTATTACCTATTAAATATGAAAGCAATTTTTTAAAGTTTTATGAAAAGTTTAAGATACTTTCTTAGAAGTGAAAAAAGGGACACGAGTTTAGTAACAGGAAGATGTAAGGATGCTCATCCAAAGAAGCAACCGTAGACCATCACACACATATAACACCTTTCAGCCAAAGGCCTTGAAGCACTTTCCAATACCAATTTAACTTCTTTACATCTCTCAGGAGGTGGATGAAGCTTAAAAGAATGGTGGAATGAGGCAACAAAGATACTAACCAACCGGTCAGTCACATAACCCTTCACAGAGAGGAGGCTCCCAAAACCAAACCTGGCCAGAAGCTTTCCACTAGGTAGTCTCCAAACATGCACTCTTCAAGGTCTTCCCCCAGCCAAAAGCAAGCCTTGACTGATAAAACACACCAGGTACAGCAGAGCCTAGACAGATCAATGTCCCCAAAATCCCATGCTGCTCATCAGGCAGCAGAGCTGGGACCAACACCCAGCCCAGCAGTGCTCTGCACTCCATCGCTGCACTAACACAAGGTTTAGTCTCATTTATCTCTAGAAAGTTCAAAAGCACTAACGTGATTCTTCTATCTTAGCACTGATACCCTTCAAAAGCCCAACTGAGGCTGCCTCTCAGCATTAAAAGGAAGAAGATCCATATCTTGGCATTATCAGGAACAGCTGTTCCCTATTCATCAAAATGAGTTTAGCTGTGAATGCATAGCATGTGTAATACGGCCTTAATTAGAGATGTGCATTCTCTGTGAAATCCTTGTAATTAGTGATACGAGAGCTGCTCATTTTTCTGGTAGAAATGAATTTACCACAGCAAGTTTGGCAGCATCTTATTTCAGAGAGGCAGGTATCTGCAAAAGGCAGGAGCTTTGTTCATTTTCGTGGCTTTTTATTTTTATTACTTACCGAAATGTAGTATTACCTACAAATCATGCACAATAGACATAGGGCACAGTGAGCCATGATTTCCAGACCTGTAATGACAGTGCAATACCTCATTATATCGACTATTTGTTCTTGATCATAGTAGCCCACCTGCACCTATGTATGCTGCTGTCAGCAGGAGGCGTCAGGATAGAGCACAAGCAAATACACCACACACAGCAGAGTTGGAGGAAAAGAACAGTTCTGATGAAAAATAAACAAATAAATAAATAAATAGCCCCATCTTCCACCTCTCACATCCTCTAGCATATATACACAACAACCAGGAAACTAAACCAGCAATATGTGACCGATACTGGCCGCAGAGTGGAAATAGCAGCCAGTACTAACAGCAGCCTGCTAGGGAGCAACCCTGGCTAACATTCACGCTGGAATTTTAGAGGACGAGAAGATGAACAAGTCAATTACAGAATGCCCCGCTCCTCATCTTCCCAGAGTAATTGAAGATTCAGTATCATTTTTACTGAGTTATTTTTAATTGGTCTCATTTGCTGAAGTAAATTAGGTGTAGCATTGTCCTCAGTATGATGTATGCATCTGTGCAAATAGGAAAGAAAACATTAAAAAATTTCAAAGCACTGCCATGGAAAAACAGACAAAATCAGATAAATGCAATTAATTTCTAAGCCTACCCTTGAAAAATTATGATGTTAATCTATTTATTTGACTGTTAGTGATGGTTTCCATCAAGGTCAGGAGAAATTGCTCAATTAATAAATGTCTGCTTGCACCTGACAACAATAAAAGTTTCCCTGGAGTGCAATAAGCTAAAAGACCGTGACCTCAGACACAGACAGTGAACTTTGTATTGTCTTTTCTTTTCTTTTCTTTTCTTTTCTTTTCTTTTTTTTTTTTTTTTCCCAAGATTGAACAATAATCACACTGCTTGTGGGCCGCATTTCTCAGCGTCTGAGACCTGTTTGCTGTCCTGGGGACCTGAGGTGTGGCTGCAGACGGCTGGCTGGAAGCCAGACCTGCAGAAACCTGCAGATCCATCGCTGCCTCGAATGCCAGGACAGCTCTGATGGATGCAGCCCTGCTCTGTGCCCAGGCTTGCACACACGGGTGCTTGGCAGCCTTCAGCCAAGCTAGGGGACAGTGTCCCAGTGGCCAAGCGTTTGCAGGCAGCATGTACCAAGCTGCAACCTGAATCCAATGGCAGGGTACTGATTAAAAAAATAAGCACTTTCAATGGCCTGGTCGAACCAAAAACCACCCTTCCATGTTCTTCTCCGTGGCAACCAAACCTTCCTGTTTGTGTTGTTTTCTTATCAACGCTCTCTCCAGTTAATTTACTAAACTCCAGCAAAACTAATTTAATTCCCTAGAGAATGGCAATGAATGTACTGGATAAGCACGGTTCCATCCCAATTTCCCCCTTGGGAGGAGTAAAAGCGGCTTGGCAGAGGTGCCTGACCCATTCCCACCCTCAGCACGGACCCAGATTGGTGCTGGCACAAGTGGAGGCTCCCATGAAGTCCGACTGACACTGCCACAGCCAAGGCTCTGCCTCAGGGACCCTCATGAAACGCTGTTAGGTGCAGTGGTTTTAATTACCCCTGCAATATGCTTTCCCTAAATCTGAATTATTTCCAGCAGGGTGTGTCTGTACGCGGCTGGCAAGCGAGCGTGGCCCTTGCGGCTCTGCTGTGTCTGATGTCTCTCGGGTCTTTTTTCTCCCCAGATTAATTAAGGTCTGAATTCAAGTTTCTGTCAATGTCTGGAATAAGGTTTATGGAGGTCCTTAGGGTTAATTTATAATCCCCTAAAGAATAAGTAAATATTTAAACTGCCCCCACAGTTGTAATTGAATGTTTTAATTCATGTCAGCAGACTGAGCGAAGCAAATTCTTCCATTGCTGTGATTATTTATTAAACAAAATTACAATAGAAAATCATTCTTGTCATTTTGCTAGAGTGTGTATGTATACTAAGAAGTTACCCCTCAAATTTATGAGTCCCAGATGACGACAGCTTTCCAAAGAAGCAGGTGAGTGCAAACCTCTTGCTGCCTAGCTGAACACGCAGGTGAAACCTAGCGGGACGGCGGAGGCTCTGCTGGAGGCGAAGGAGCTCACACCGAGACCCAGGCCCTGCAGTGAGGGGCAGGAGGGAGCCAGGACACTGCAGGAGCTTGTCATGGACAGCAGCAGCAGGAGCACGGACGGCAGAGCTGGGGCCACGCTCGTACCACCCGGTGTTTGCTGTAGCGAGGTCACCTCCTCGCCTGCAGCAGCACATCCCAGCCTTGTGCTCCGATGGCCTGCTCCGGCAAAAGGCACCACGGGAGTACTCCTAAAGACATGGGGGAAATGTGAATAATGGCATCGCTTCAGGTGAAGCATCACCTGAGCCCCTGAGGGAAGAGGAGGAGAAGCCGCAGGTGAGCAGAGGCAGGGCAGGAGCTGGGACCCGGGAACGAGAAGTCACGGAGGGGCCGGGCTTCCCGGCTCCCATTCCCACTCTGCTTACGTGGGCTGACGGTAACTGGTGGCTTTTTAAATTTAATAGCTTCTAATGGAGGCCAAAATATTATTGATAACCACAATCATCTCCTGATGTGCCCATTAAGGCAGTGCTGCTCATTTCTGTCGTGCTTTATAACATCTATTAGTCACCAGTTTTTACACCAGAATCTTACTTGTTTCAGGCAGGAACAGACATTACTGGGAGGAGCTGTGGCCCCAGTACGAGCTGGTGGAGGTTTCCACAGCAGCATTAGACGTGCTGTGCTCCAGAGCACTGCCCTGTGCCCCCACGTCCTGCCCAGCTGTGTGTCCGTGCTCCAGACGTGTGTGTGGCCACCCCTTAAGGGATTTGGGGACTGGAATTTCATTAAGACCTCAGGTGATGAGGTTTAGCAATGAAATAACCAACAAGCAAGTGTGCCATGTCTAAAAACCCACAGGGGCAGCAAAATTGTTTTGAGCCTTGACATTTCTTTTGCTAGCCCTCTCTTGCCTACCACATTTTGTTGGGGTGTTCACAGACTCCCCAAATGGCTTGGGCTGGAAGGGACCCCAAAGCCCACCCTGCTCCAACCCCGTGCCGTGGGCATGGACATCTGCTGATCCTCCTGGTGAAGGTAAGCACCGTTGCCAGACCCTTCGTGCCCTCGTAGCAATGGGGTCAGCGGGGTGTCCTCAGAGCCTGCAATTAGCACTGCTGCCCCGGGTGGGGTAACGACGGGCACAGGGCCAGTGCTCTCCAGTGGCCAGCACCACGGCTGAATGAACTACCAGCAAACAGTCATCCCCCATCTCACAGCCAGCAGCCGTGCTCCTCGTGAGGACCTCCACTACCTGCTATCACCGTGGGCGAGCCCAGCTCGGCTTTGCTCCAACCTGGCTGTGCTGAGGCTGTCACCCTGTGCGTGGTGCTGCTACAGAGCGAGGCTGGCACGGGCCAAAGTTAATCATATCAGCTGGGATGTATGTTACAACTCAACTAACAGAGACAAAGGCAGCTGGTGAGAGTTTTTGTGCATCCAGGAGAACTTATCAATGTTTTATAAATACTCAGTTTACATTCTAAGCATCACAAATCATTGTAAATCACCCCTCCTTCTCATGACAGTGATTGCATTTAAATTTTGCTGAGGGTTTCTTACAGTTCTGTCCCTTGAATAGGAGGTTTAGATTTCTGATACTGCAGGCAAAAGACAGAGATGTATTGAAAATTAAGGTACCTAAATAATTAACCCCAATACTAAGTCTTAGAGGCAATTCAATAAAGTACTCTCTGGGACCCAGCTGACAGTGAATAATATCCACCCTCCCCGCATCACACAGGCTGCAGAAACAATTTTATGTTGCCATTACACCATGGCACTTAACTGTTTGTGTTCTTTGGAGAGACAGCATTGCCTTGGAACCGTGTCATCAGAAACCGTTGTGCACCTGGGAAATGGGAGGAATAAACCCACAGGACGAATGGGTGAGGCTTCCTCATCCCAAGGTGGAGCCACACCTTGAGCCGAAGCATATTATCAAAGCCATGTAACTTGTTGCTCTAAAAATCCCCTTCTGTCAGCCACCATGCTCGGCGATGCCCTGTTAGAGGCATTTTAACAACCTGGCTCTGATCTAAGCCTGCCAGCATTCTGCAGAACTCTTCAGCGTCCTAAGGATTTTTATGTGTGTTTGATGAATTATTTATGGACTTTAGATTGCAAATACGGTGCAGAAAGGAATAGACAAGCTGGGTGAGTCCATTTGGCTAATGTAAGATCCAGCCACAATTCCTGGATTATAATGTTGGAGAACCAGAAATGTCCTTTTTGTTCTGGAATTATTCTTCACACTGACAGCCTCTGCAGCGCAGGCTGGGTTAGAAGCAGAGTTAATACTGGGCAGCTGAAACAGCTGAAAGCCAGGAAAACTGAGGGTGTCCAAACAATGAGACACATCTCTGTGAATAATGGTCAAAGTATTAGTCCTACAGGTGAAACAGAAGAGCAGTTGACCATGCACATTAGGAGCTGTGGGTTTGGGTCTGTTTCTCCATGATGGAAAGGTTTCCAAGTGGCCTCCACAGAATTTTTCTGTACCTTGGCATTATGGGGAGGCATTACTGTTAATGACGTGAAGTTGATAATGGGGAGAACTGGCAGAAAATCTTTCCATGGAAGAGTAATAAATGCTACGGGTGCATAAGGTGACAGCTGCAATTTCAAAAGGATCAATACATGTTACAGCGGTATTTATACCGGGGATGATGGTAAGGAGCAATTCTCTCACCAACCCTCACTAATACAATCAGTGCTCAGCTGAGCTCTTCTGGCTCACTGATAATGAATGGGGCCAGTTTGGA